TTATCTCATGTCAAAGGTCCAATTAATTGGAAATATCTTCTTACAAATAATGACAATTCGTTTAATACATTTAAAATATCAGTTGAGGATAAATGATTTCTAAAGACTGATCATAATATCCTTGATTGTTTGATTGAGACTACGGCTCTTCAAATGCCATATGCTTTAAGGAGGTAATTCGTGACAAAACTAATATTTTGTGAACCTAGCCCTATATCAATCAAAGTATGCTTAATTTTAATAACTTTTTCTAATCAAAAAAATCGCCTATATATTTTATTATTATTCTAAAACGTGTAAGATATCAAAATTATTTGTTGAAAAATTTACAATTACTTTGAATATTCATAATGCAGATTTAAATTAGCATAAACATCATTAAAATAAATAAACACATTTTCAACATATTAGAGGCAATGGTGACATCAAACATACAAATTCTAACTATAAGCATCAAGCCAATATTTAAAATAAGTGATTTACTTTGATTCGATAACTAAATTTTATAACTAATTTTTAATGGGTAGTTGAAATGGAATTGGAGGCCATATTTATTTATTTAATAAAAACAAAAAATATTTTATTAATTTATAAATTGTTATAAAGATATATATATATATATATATATATATATATATATATATATATATATATATATATATATATATATATATATATATATATATATATATATATATATATATATATATATATATATATATATATATATATATATATATATATATATATATATATATATATATATATATATATATATATATATATATATATATATATAGAATAATTATTGCAAACACATGATTGTGGAAACTTAGAAAGAAAATCAACACCTTAAAACAAATTTTAAAATTTTGTAGACCAATAAGTACACAATTAATCTCCACTAATATATATATATATATATATATATATATATATATATATATATATATATATATATATATATATATATATATATATATATATATATATATATATATATATATATATATATATATATATATATATATATATATATATATATATATATATATATATATATATATATATATATATATATATATATATATATATATATATATATATATATATATATATATATATATATATACATATATATATATATATATATACATATATATATATATATATATATATATATATATATATATATATATATATATATATATATATATATATTTATGGAGTGAAATAAGATGTCAAGTGTTCCGTTACAATTATTTTTTGGCAAAATAATTTGTAACGCCTAGCCAGTTCTGTATCTTTTAAACTCTCTCATTTTTCTTGAATATACAAAGATGAAAGCAAACAAAAAATATGATAAATAAATAATTGAATAGTATTTTACATGAACAAATTGGTTTTAGGGTGAGTGTCTCACCCAACTTGAAAAATTATGTCACTACATTTAGAAAAGTATCTTATGACCCTGACTTTTCCAGAATTGTGCCATTAGCTTGTCTACATGGTAGCATTTCTATGTGATAGCATTCCCATTATTGTTTCGGATATATGTGTTCCCTCACTTCCTTCTTATATAACACTTTCCATTTTACTTACAATCCAAATAAACTTAAACTCATTTTTATCTTCACCCTATTTTCAACATTTGATCACAGTTCATTCTTTTTCTCTCATTTCCTTAACCTCTCTCCTCTTTATGACAAATCAATAATAATAATAAAATTGAAAAGATACAAAATCAAATTTAAAAAGGATTGTTGGGGAAATTTCTCTACATAGACAACTTTCTCTTTGACTCTTTCTCTCTCGACTTGAATAGCATTCACAGTCACAAAAATTGTACATAATAAAAAGAATAAGTCATTAAATTAAAAGTACAAAAACATAAGACATATTCGAAACTAAATGGAACAAACATATACAAATTTCAACATCAAAACAATCAATTAAAATACCCTGACATAAGAAGAACGAAAGTTATGATAGAGATTGCAACCATAATATAGAAGACAAAAATAAGAGATGTGAGAAGAATTGGAAGTTCCATAAACCTTTGCAATATGAGCGCTCTTATAAATTTTCATTTGTAAAAACTGGTTATGTTTAATCCAGAGAGAAAATTGTCCATTGGATCTTTGTTTTGCTTTATGACATTTATATGTTCTTATCTTTCTATTTTTTATAACTTTCAGATAGTTATTGTATGTCTATCTCTTCCACAATAATCTTTTGGTGATTATTGTATGTGGAAGTTACTTAAACTAATTCTTTGAATTGTAAAATATAGTATGTTGATTGATTAGAAATATGCTTCATCTCTCTTCAAGAATAAAAAGATCATTGATCAAAATTAAATAAATGAAAAAATTATAGAATGAAAAAAAAATTTAATAGTATATTGATTGAGAAAGAGATGGAACTTAAAAAAAAGAAATAGAAGATGTAGTTGATTATCACATCAGTCTAACACACTGAAGGTCCCCAATTCGAGCCTGGGCGAAGCCAAGATGTTTAACTTTTTCTTTAAGGTTTTTATAATATGAACAACAAAACTTATGAAAATAATCTATAACAATATATAAAGCCAACACTTTTTATTGGTGTAGCTTTTTATTTTCCAATTTTGTCCAATAATTCACACTATTATTCCATTTAACACCCTTTACAAAAATCAACTACATAGACGGTTAAAAAACTTCTACCATCTCACATTTTAATTTTTTTATATTAAAATTACTTTAAAAAACTTGCAGTATCAAAAGGTCATAGAAAATGTATCAATGAGTAAAAACTATTTTACGGTTATATCAAAATAATAACTTCCCATTCCCATTTAACCCATTTATCTATAACTATATATAAAGGGGATACAAGTTTTGGTGTGGCTTATTTTTGTTCCAAAATTACCCTTATTTAATTGTAATATTTCCATAATTCTCTATGCAGTTTGTTTTAATTACAACCATGTGTGAGCAAGAATCTCAACCGCTCAACCAAAATAAAAACTGCTGTACACAGACATTCAATAGCAAAATAAAAGTAATTACAAAACATGGTAGAGCATCCTGAATAACAATGGACTAGACTCTTATGGTTTTTTGTTCTTTTTTTATCTACATATTATCCTTTCCTTTCTCCATCCCTCTAATCTATTTTTTCATGTTTTCACTTTTTAATTTTCTTTTAGATATGTTCTTAAACATGATAAGGTCAAAATATATAAATCAATTAATATTTTCACTTTTGCATATGTTCATGTATGTTTTATTGGTTTATTCAATTTAGTTTAATTTTGTTTTGTTCTAATGTGTAGCTTTTGATTTTAGTGTCTGAGTAAAAATACATTGCTCTAACTTTACAGGTTTTGATGAGATTGTCATATTTATGTGACTAATAATTTAAGAATCATATATATTTTCACCATTTTAGTGTTAATTTAGGAAATCATATATATTTTCACCATTTTAGCGTTAATTTAAGAATCATACATATTTTCACCGTTTTCACAATTACTCAGTTTCTTTCTTGGTCAATCTCTATCTTTTCTCCTTCTGCATTTTTCTTTCAGTTTTCACAATTACTCAATGTCAATCTCTGTTTTGGTTAGTTTTATGCATTTTCATTTTGTAGGATAACCGGATAATGTCACAATAAAACCATGGCAAAGATCAAAAAGATTGATGATTAATTTTTGGACATTAGTGAAGGTGATCTTTGTTTTGGTGAACATGGTAATATATTTTGATAAGTTAGCATGCATTAAATAGTATTAGAATTGACCATTAAAATCTTTTTATGCAATTGAATGCATTTTTCTAATATTTTTTTTTTAATTTTCCTTATAAATTGTAACTGCTTCTAACATTCTTAACGATTGAAACTTAAACTACATAACTCTACCATTTCAGGTGCACGACATTTGTTTCCATGTCTTTCATTTCCAAACCCATGATAATAGTAACTTAATGCCACTGTAAATCATTTTTGGATGTTTGGATGCTATATATATTTTTTCAATTTCACATCAACGGAAGGCATAGATTATATATTCTACATTGTTCAAATTATTTGTGCTTTTCTTCTCCACACATGTAAGTCATGTTTGTTTATCTATAGATTAGGTGTGGTCTGTGTCAATTTGGATGCTATATTCACCGAAGTATGATATGAGAACTAACCATTTACATTGATGTCTATGAGGTGAATTAAATTTAATTGAATTGCGTTGCAGAGAATAGTTTTGATTTGATATTACAGGAAGTGATTGAAGAAGAAAATTTATGAGAAATCATCTTATGATGATATATCGGTTTTCGATGAATTATTTTTGCAATGATAGTTCATGGATACCTAATTTAACCACAATATCAATGGAAAAATGTTTTTAAAAAATGTAATATAGAGATAGTTTATTATATTTGTTGCATTAAATTATGTGTCTACAATATACACAAAATAAAAGGAGTTGAAAAAAGAAAGTATGCTTTTGTTATCCTTAATCGTAGTTATTAAGAAAAAAGGTAAGCTTTTGCTTGCTACCCTTAACAATAGTAGTAGTTGCTCTGACTTCTTTCTTTTTTATTCTCTAAATTATTCTTAAATAAATTTGTTGAATAAAAAATAAGCAATCAGTATGTTTTGTATTATATAAAAAAAAAAAACAAAGGTAAATCATCTGAGAAGAGAGCGAAAACTTAGAAAATGTTAGAAACTTTCTTATTCTTGCTCAGTAGACAATAATATTTTTATAGTTTAATTATCATCATTTGTCTTTATGCTATATTATTATTAGTTTTTAAAACTTCTATTATTTTTACTGTACTTTTTATTCTACTAATTATTATTACTTTCGTTTTTTTAATTCTTTTCTATTCCCTTCTTATTTCTTTTTTTTCCTGAATTTTTTTTTTAATCAAGAAATTTTGGCATTAATTCAAAAAACCATACAAACCAAGGCGATCAAATGATCCAGCCCATAAAACAATCAAACTACCTTAAGGCAAAATAAACCTAGCTATACGTGGTCTAAGCTTTGGACTAGTCCACCCTCTATACATTATATTGTAAATAATTCTATCAAGGCAATTCCTATTATCAGTTCTATGATTAAAACAGGCTTCGTTTCTATAAAGCCAGATCTCATGAGGAGTTTCTATAAGGGCAAGCCTAACCAGATTAGATTGCCCGCCTTTCCCACCATAATTGCTCAGAGCCCATTGCATTTCCTCTTGCCATCTTTTTGGAGTGTGTTGAATGCCCAACCACTGAAGAATACCACTCCATATTTGCTTCAATTCCACACAACAAAAAAAAAGTGATCAATGGTTTCCTCTTCATTGCAAAAAGCACATTTGTTATTGTTGATCATGCCAAATCTGAACAGTCTTGACTTGGTTGCTAGCTTTCCATGACAGATCGTCCAGAGAGTAATAATTGCCCGGGGTCTAGCTCTATTATGAAGGATTAATTTGGCCCATGGAACATTAGGAGTAATAGGTCGGAGGCTTTGATACACTTTCCTCCCATGGAATTTACCCATCTGCAGCATAGCATCCCATGTACTCTGTATGGTCATTAGCTTGTCCCTTTGTATTAGAATCGCTTTGAAAATTCCAGACTCAGATCCCTTATATGTTGTGAAGAAGTTGTTTATATTGTTGAATTCAATTTTTTTTTACCCTCTATCTATTATTTTTTTTAAAATTTTTTTTTACTATTGTGTATTTCAATTCTTTTGTTTTGTCTTTCTTGTTAATTATATATTTTTATAGTTTATATAATAATGAGGAAAAGAGGGATATTTACAGATTCTTTAGGAATTTAAGAATTGTGATGCAATTTTCATGAAGTTGAATTTAAAATTTGGGATTTCCTTTCATTTATGAGATTAAAATTAGTTTAATTGTGTTAGAATAGAAAAAGAAGTTTAAGATATGAGGTGATCATTAGTACAAAATAATAACCATCATCATATAATAAAGATTAAAAAATAAGTCATTTATGTTGTTGTGAATCGGATACCTTTAAACAAAGTATAAACGGTTTCTTTCTTATCAAGAAACACACAAGGGTTGGGGTTAATAAAGAAGACAAGGTAAAACAACAAGGAACAATAAGAATTGGTTATTAAACTGCTATTCTTTCCTTTCTCTTAGAACAAGATTACAAGTATACAAGAATAACAAAATAACCTCTCTCCCTTTAAATTAGGATTTTATCTTCCTATTTTTCCTTATCCCAAGATTGAGAAACTAGCATCCTATTTATAATAAAATAGCACACTAACCTAATGGGCTTTTTAACAATTACCCATTACAAGCTAACTTAGGGTACAAGCTAACTTAAACAATTGGGCTTACAAGCAAGGCCCAATTCAACATGCTAACAACCCTAGCAATATTTACTAATGCATGTTAGAACAAACTTCGACTACAACACGCATTACTTGTGAACAGACTTCGACAACACTAGAGTTCGATCCAACATCTCACAAATCTCCACCTTGGATCTAACTCTATAACATCAAGAAACTAGCTTTCTTCATGCAGCTTTATTAACTGCATACAGTGGAAAACTTGCAATTGGGCAACGTCTTTTCTTTTTCCGTTAACGTAGCGTCCATGGCTGCCTCACCCTTCAACGCTTCCAAACAACCCTGCTGAACCAATAGGGCTTTCATCTTCAAGCGCCACAGACCGAAGTCGTTCACTCCGGTGAACTTTTCAATCTCATACTTTGTTGAAGGCATCTTTTTCACGCTCACCGCACCAATTTGTTATGAATCGAATACCTTTAAACAAAGTATAAACGGTTTCTTTCTTATCAAGAAACACACAAGGGTTGGGGTTAATAAAGAAGACAAGGTAAAACAACAAGGAACAACAAGAATTGGTTATTAAACTGCTATTCTTTCATTTCTCTTAGAACAAGATTACAAGTATACAAGAATAAAAAATAGCCTCTCTCCCTTTAAATTAGGATTTTATCTTCCTATTTTTCCTTATCCCAAGATTGAGAAACTAGCATCCTATTTATAATAAAATAGCACACTAACCTAATGGGCTTTTTAACAATTACCCATTACAAGCTAACTTAAACAATTGGGCTTACAAGCAAGGCCCAATTCAACATACTAACAACCCTAGCAATATTGACTAATGCATGTTAGAACAAACTTCGACTACAACACGCATTACTTGCGAACAGACTTCGACAACACTAGAGTTCGATCCAACATCTCACATATGTGTTAGTCATAACTACAAAATAATGACAATGATGCATTGTAGTAATAGTTTTTTTATAACAATCCTTTTTTTTTTCTTTAACAATTATATTAAAGTATTTATTGACAAGATTGAAATAGTATAAAGATAAAGACTAGGATTTTTTTAACCAAATCATCATTCACTAAAGACTGAAATAGTATATTTAATAGTGCATTGATAAAAGGATGTATGAATAATTAATTCAAATCTTTACAAGATAAAAAAATATTATATTAAACTAATTACTATTAATTTCACTATTTTTTTCCTCTAAAAAAAATCTAATACGAGAGTCTTACATTTTTTATTTAATATGCAAAACAATGGCATGAAAAAGAAACTTCTTAGAATAAAGATTTAATGTTCGGTCTTCCTATTAAAGAACGTTATTGATTATACAGTATAAATAGTACTTTGTATTATTCAGTTATTTAATATAATTTAGAATAACTTTGTTTATCATTTTCAAAGATATTATTAGCATGTTTAGACAACATATTTTTTTTATCTAACTTTTATTTTAATTCGGTATGTTTAAAATAATAGTAGCATTAATATATAGTTAATTCACTAAAGTATTTTTAGTATATATACATTTATCATTCTGATTTTAAGACTGCTTGAGGGTATTTAAAAACATTATTTTTAATTAATCTTAAGTATGATAAAAACTTCATACAAAATATATACACGTTTATTTTTCTATGTTATGCGCATTAAAAAAAAGCGGACAAACGGGCACAGGAGTGCCCGTCTAAACGCTGGTTTAAGAAGAATGAGAATGAAAGAGAGAAAGAAAAGAGAACTAAGATAAAGAAAAGAAAGATATTCAACTTCTATGTCATATTTAATCTAATTGTAGAAAACATTCATCAAGAACAAAAGAGAAAAGAGAGAAGAAAGTCGAGATAAATGGTGGACATGAGGATATTGGAAACTACTATTGATATTTGGTATGTTTGTAACAACTTCTCTAATTTTCTCTAATTTAACTTCAATTTTCTTTAATTTTGATTTCTTTTATGTAAGGTTATCTCCAGTAACATGACAAAATTGGGAAAAATACATGGAGTTGTTCAATTGCGTGAAGTTAGAAGAATTGGGTGTTGTGATATGTTGGATCGAACTCTAGTATAGTCGAAGTCTGTTCGCGAGTAATGCGTGTTGTAGTCGAAGTCTGTTCGCGAGTAATGCATGTTGTAGTCAAAGTCTGTTCTAACATGCATTAGTAAATATTGCTAGGGTTGTTAGCATGTTGAATTGGGTCTTGCTTGTAAGCCCAATTGTTTAAGTTAGCTTGTATCCTAAGTTAGCTTGTAATGGGTAATTGTTAAAAAGCCCATTAGGTTAGTGTGCTATTTTATTATAAATAGGATGCTAGTTTCTCAATCTTGGAAAAAAAGGAAAAATAGGAAGATAAAATCCTAATTTCAAGGGAGAGAGGTTATTTTGTTATTCTTGTATACTTGTAATCTTGTTCTAAGAGAAAGGAAAGAATAGCAGTTTAATAACCAATCCTTGTTGTTCCTTGTTGTTTTACCTTGTCTTCTTTATTAACCCTAACCCTTGTAAGTTGCTTGATTATTAAGAAACTATTTATACTTTGTTTAAAGGTATCTGATTCACAACAAATTGGTGCGGTGAGCGTGGAAAAGATGCCTTCAACAAAGTATGAGATTGAAAAGTTCACCGGAGTGAACGACTTCGGTCTGTGGCGCTTGAAGATGAAAGCCCTGTTGGTTCAGCAGGGTTGTTTGGAAGCGTTGAAGGGTGAGGCAGCCATGGACGATGCGTTAACGGCAAAAGAAAAGACGAGCATGATCGAGAAAGCCCATAGCGCAATATTATTGAGCCTTGGTGATAAGGTTCTTCGACAGGTATCAAAGGAGACTACATCATTGGGATTATGGGTGAAACTTGAAAGTTTGTACATGACCAAATCTCTGGTGAATCGACTCTACCTGAAGCAAGCTTTATATTCATTCAAGATGAGTGAAGACAAAGTGTTGGATGAGCAGTTGGATATGTTCAACAATCTGATTCTTGATCTTGAAAATATTAATGTGAAGATCGATGATGAAGATCAAACACTGTTGATGTTGTGTGCTTTGCCCAGAACACATGCTCACTTCAAAGAAACTCTCTTGTATGGAAGGGAGCCCCTGACCTTTGAAGAAGTTCAATCAGTCTTGTATTCTAAGGACTTGAACGAACGAAAGGAGCATAAACCTTCGACGGTGGGTGAAGGTTTGGCCGTTAAAGGAAAATTCTTGCGAAAGGATGGTAAGTTCGACAAGAAGAAAGGTAAAAGTCAACAGAAGTCTTATAGTGGCGAAACATCTAGTATTCAATGTTATCACTGTAAGAAGGAGGGTCACATAAGAAAGGTGTGCCCTGAACGTCTGAAAGATCATGGAGGTAATGGCAATGCAGCCATTGTTCAAGATGACTTCGACTCATTTGATGTTCTTGTGGTTTCAAGTGGCGACTCGAGGAAAGAGTGGATTATGGATTCAGGTTGCACTTGGCACATGACTCAAAACAAAGATTTGTTCGAGGAGCTATGTGATCAAGATGGTGGATCTGTGCTGCTGGGAAACAACAAATCTTGCAAAATTGCAGGTATTGGATCTGTGAGATTCAAACTCCATGATGAGTCAATAAGGTTATTAACTGAAGTCAGGTACGTACCTGACTTGAAGAGAAATTTGATTTCTCTTGGTGAATTCGACAGAAAAGGATACATTTTTCAAGGAGAGAAAAGTATCCTAAGAGTCATGAAGGGGTCGAAGGAAGTCTTGAGAGGCATGAAGAAACAAGGCTTGTATACCCTTGAGGCTGAGGTTGTAAGTGGTTCGACAAATGTTGCATCCACGAAATCTATGTCGAAGACAGAATTATGGCACATGAGATTGGGCCATGTCAGCGAAAGAGGCCTGGTCGAATTGGGGAAG